GTTGACGATTCGACTGCGATGCCAATGAAGTTAGCGTACAGACTGTAAATGGGACCTCATTCCTTGTTCCTCGCAACTTGCTGCTGCTGCTCGGCGGGTTCCAATGTTGAACCGTGCCCGGCATTGCTAGGTATGTCCCCCTACATGTCGCCGGCACACTACCCACTACACACTACTGGGGAAGAAGTGTAATGCGCGCAACGACACGGGGTCAAATATTATAGGATTTGAGCGACGTACAAGGAGTCGGAGAAGTCCATTTTGGCTTGTGTATGATGGGCTTTTCCCCTGCTCGTTTCACGGTATCTGTGAGGCTGTTGTCTGTTTTGCGCTGGCCTTTGCCGCGAGGGTTGGGAGATGACGAAGAAGTCGGTTGCACGGCGACTTTTGTGGTCATAGGCTGCTACCTACGTAGGTACAGACTAGATACGGTTGGCAAAAGTTATGCTGGTAGGCGTGTTTCTACCCCCGTTAGTTTGCATAGTAGATAGTCGCTTAGCTGAATTAGGCAGGTACTGGGTGGTACAGTACAGTCAGGTCCCGTACCGTACCTAGGTATTATGCATACCTACCTATAGGTAGGTAGAACATATAGCTGTATTGAGCATATGCATATATGCATTATCAAGCAATTTACATAACTCAATTATGTCTTGATTATGTAAAACTAATTACTTCAACAAGTTCGCACGAAGAAGGTAGCTCGTCAACTCCCGGCATGGAATGTCACCCTCTTCTCACTCACCTTCCTCCACGCAGTTCGCATCACAACTCCTCATCTTTCCGGCGGCCCATTCATTACACTTGACTACTACCTGCTTTCCCGTTTCCCTATACACGTATTCTTGTCTACCTGCGTAGACATCAACCATTCCGTTCACAGACTGTGCTCGTCTTCATCGCACAGTCCCGTCGCAACTCTATTTCCCCGCGTTCTACTAACACTACTTTATGCAACTCGAGCTTCTAAAGACTCCCCAACAGTCTCAACAGCGAAGCGACTCCCCATCTCCTCAACACGCAGATCGATATGGCCCCCTGCACTGCGATGCGAGTGGCCCGCGTGGTCCAGCTCAGAACCCTCCGCGACGACAAGATCCCAGTATGTCGATGCAGTCTGTCAGCGATGCCGACACGCTCAGCCCCGTCGACCAGGATGTCTTCCCAGACATTCTTGAAGAACGACTACGCCGACTGAGCATTCATAGCCAATCGCCGACTAAGCGGCCCTCGCTCGCAGGTCAACGAATTTTCGAGTATGAGAATGCATTAACGCATTCTGTTCCTAGGCAAGCTCTAGGCTTCACGGTCATTAAGCGCACCAATAATGACACAGCAGCTCGTGTCAATTTAGACGACTTCCCCAATGGTATGCGATCACCGATTCTCTACCTGTCCGCAGACTTCATGGCTCTAACACAGAACGAACAGAGATTCTGACACATATACTGTCGCATTTGCACCCCGATTCGCACGCCTCTGTGGCCCTAGTGTCGAAACGGTTCTACTCCTTGATCACGACGCCCCATGCTTGGCGCATGGCCTTTCAGCGCTTTTTTCCCGCTCAAGAGGTCTTGGTTTCCCCAAGCAAACCACTGGGGATTGCATGGGGCGAGGATGATGATACCGCCCGGTCCCAGGTGCGGGCCTTCACCCGACTTACTTCTCACGCCTCCTGGCGCAGCGAATATCTTTTAAGGACTCGTCTTCTCCGTAGCCTTTCAAGAGGAAAGCCTGGCGCAAATTCGGGTGTCGGTGTGTCTTTGCGTGCTAGCCAGAGCGGCAAGAAGCCTGCCGCGGTTCTGACCTACAATACTAAAGTGCCCTCTGTCATCACTCATGTTCATGCTATCTTCAAGACTAATGGCAAAAAGTCACCACGGGTTATCCATGGTGCCTCCGACCTGTGTGTCGGGAGCGCTAGCGATCCAACCGTGGGAAAGGTCGAAAAATGGGGTCTAGATGATCCTTTCACCTTTGCTCGGCTGGATGAAGTTATGCCGCAGCTCATGCCTTATGGCATGGGCGAGGGTCCTGCGGCTATGCCCAATGTTATGGATGTAAGCCAACCCTATGGCCTCGTCGGTGGCGAGGGATTTCCAGGTGGTCGCGTATTCTTCCGCCCGACTGGAGAATACAGAGGAAAATATCTTAGCCAAGAAGCCAGCGTAGTTGAGGCCCATCCTGACATCCCCAAAGTCCCTGAGCTCTCAGAGGGCATTTGCTCTGTATGGGTAGCCAAGTCAGCCTCCGTACCCACCGTTACTCGGTCTTTGGTTGGTATCATGACCGGATCGTCCTTGGGGGTCGTGACAACCTATGCCCTAGGCTACGATTCGTCCGGCCCGCGCTACACTCCTGGAGAAATAAGTGCTCGCTGGGTGCTGAGCCCTGGTGTGCCTATTATTGCCCTTAGGGTTGATGATAGCTACAGCCAGAAGCGGAGAGACATGGGCCGCGTTTGGGCAGTTGCTCTCAACGCCTTGGGCGAAGTCTATTACCTATGCCAACCCCCAACGCCACCAGTCACCAAGACTAAAGCCGATGACAGTATCAAGCTCGCTTGGCACACGGGTCGCTCAGCCTATTGGCACCTTGTAGAGGCCACTCGACGGCAGGCCCGCCCTGATCACTCTGGCAAGAATGTTGTCCGAGGCAGCTATTCACCAAAGTCTCCTTCTAATGCTATGGACTTGAAACGGAGCCAAATGATAGCCGAGGCACGAGAAATTGAGAGATTCTTTCACTACAAGCCATCGCATTTTCGAAAGGTTTGCTATGGCTGGGACATGCGTCGAAAACTTGAGGTCGATTTCGCTGGCGACGACAAGCTGGGTGCGGGAGAAAGCTTCTTCATCATTGATTGTGCATTGGATGATGAAAAGACCTGGGCTCTAAGGCGCTTCACTCGAACTATGTCAATTGAGCCTCAACCGAACGCGACATCTCCGGAAGCTCCAGAATCTTCATTCGAACCAGCAACTCATGAATCTATATTTGGTGGCCCCAGTACCACTTCGACATTCCCGGATCCTTCCAGTTCTACGCTACTCAAGCAAGTCGCGTCGTCAGAGGGTAAACAGTCACCCCCGTCCGTGCCCAAAGCGCCGAAAGGATTAGATGACTGGGTGGAAACCACCTTCTGGTCGAAAGAAATCAACAATACTACGATCATGGCTTCCGCTGTTGATTTGTCGCTTATGGCTTTGATTACGTCGTTTGAGGATCCTCAAATGGATGGCCCGAGACCCTCAGCTAGCGTGCCTCCAAGTGGCTTTGCGACGCAACCTGAGCAACCGTCATTGGATATTCCTGGCCGGATGGCAAGATTGATTGGGTTAGGGACCAACAGTGGCAAGGTGGTGCTTTGGAATATGCGGGCCAGACATACGGGCGATGGTATTTCTCCTGTTCGGGTGATTGAGACAGACTCGCCTGAGGTCTCTTGCCTGGCGCTTTCGGCTCTGTACCTAGTCCATGGTGGAAGTGACGGACTCGTCCAAGCCTGGGATCCTCTGGCTTCCACCTTGGAGCCTGTCCGCACTTTGAATTCCCGCTCTCCTGGTCGTATGCCTCGACATCTCCTTGCTCTGAATCCAACCATCACCGATGCGAACTTTACCGCTGTCAGTGCCATTTACCTGGACCCAGACGCAACCATCCTCCAAGGGGTCGTAGCTTTTGGCTCCTTCGTTCGATATTGGGCATACAGTTCCTCAAACCAAGGTCACGGTCGTAAGCGGAGATTTCGGCACTCTGAGGTTCATGGTCGTCTTAGCGGACGACGTCACGGTGGGGGTGTCGAAGGCTACATTGCTGCCGAGGCTGAAGAGCTTCGCATTGAGCAGGAACATGATGCACGGGAACAGGCGCGCCTACGTGCCCGCTTTGGCTTAGGTCTCAATAACTTGAGTGAAGAAGAGGCGCTCCAGTACGCGGAGATGATGTCTAAAGAATCGTTCCTACTAGAGGAGCAACGGCGAGTAAGTGTCAGCGACACCGGCTCAGCTGCGGACTTTGACACAGCCTCGACGACTGAAAGTGTGGATACGGTCACGCCTGAACCCAGCGTCGCCAATATAAGCCCACCAACGAGTAGTACAAGTGCCGCTATTGAGGCTATCAGCGAGAGTGAATATGAACTTCAGTTGCAAACTGCCATCCGACTGTCTCTCTTAGAGGGCGTTGGGGACCTAGGGCGCTCTCCGAAGGGTAATAGTTCAGGGGACTTCGACGGGCCTATCGCTTTCACAGGCAAAAGAGGCAAACAGATTTTATCCAGCGCGCCGTCGTCATCGAAGCATAACGACTCGTCGTCGAAAGCAGTGATCACGAGTCCTCCGGGGGGCGATGACGACCTAGAATTAGCATTGCGACTAAGCCTTGTCGAAGAGCAGAACAGACAGACGACGACTGCCCTGGAGAGTGGGGACGACGAGTTCCCTCCTCTTAGCGGCGACGGGTTTCCTCCTCTTGGCGGTGCCGGATGGGGCAAGGGAAAGGGAAGAGCGATATGACTATTGTTACGAGAACAGCGGAGAAGCTCACGGACACGTAGCTCACTCCCCTCACTACCTGTTATTTATTACATTCTAGCAGAGAGGTCTAACACTTGAAGCCAGAATTCCTAGATTCATTTTGAGAATTGTTACTATTACAGTCTGGCGCAGTCCAGTTATTGTGTTTTTAAACCCTTCGCTAGAAGAAGGCCTTCAGTCAAGTCAACCGGAACGGAAGACCAGCTATGCCAGCAAGTTAATCAAGATTCCTAGAACGTGTCTCCTTCCGCTTAGTCTGTGTCTGTGTCGATACTTATTAGACCGGACGAGTAGGTATCTCCATGACCAAAAATTACATGTCTAGCTCCGAATACCTAGTGGATGATGGTTTCAATTCGACTGCATCGGAAAGTCCCTAATCTGTGATATAGATATTGTTAAACGGGCGAACGTTCACACAACAAGCCGCCGCATCTGCCAAAAAGCATGTGACGGTTGATCGGTCTGGTGGTCTAGCGGTATGATTCTCGCTTAGGGTTCACCCTACAGCTTCTGTTTGCGAGAGGTCCCGGGTTCAATCCCCGGCCAGACCCGTTTCTTTTTCAATTTCTTTTCTTTTTTGTTTCGGTTTTAGAAAATCCTTTTCTCTTTTTTTTTTTGGTTTACTGATTGTAACTCAAAGGAAGAACTGTAAAATCGGCAACCCTTAGCCTGAAACTCAAAATTCATGTCGGTCGGCTTGCCGCATTACTCCTGACCACGCCTCATTGCCGACCACCTTAAGTATAGCCTGTGTAGGTCTACCGTTCGAGTTGTTGACCCCCACCCAGGTAGACAAGCGACCAAGCAAGCAAGGAAATCAAGGAGGCACCTGATCATTCATGATGAGCGAGTATGGATATATATTAGGAGGGTTTACCCTTCACGGCATCCGGGAATACCCTATCTACCTACCTATCTACCCCTAGGTATCTACCTACATCCATCTGCAAAGGCGTTCGTCCCGACTTCTCCTGATGTCCGGATCCCGTCCCGAAACCCAAATTTCCAAGCCCCGTCGAACTTCGAAGAACTCTCTCCCCGCCGTGCTCCACTCACCCCCCACCCCCTACTCCCCACCACCCATCACCCATCACTCATCGCCAAGTTCCCAAAGTTCTCAATCATCTCATCATCATCGACGGGTCTATATTGACACGTAGATAAGCGGTCACCACGCGCAAACGCGGCAGATTACATAGGTACCTACCTCCATAACTTTACAGTTGGGTGGAGCCCAGTCAGTCACCCAGTGAAACTACCCACCTACCTACCCACCTACCTACCTAACCTACTTACTACCATACCTACTTTACGCCACGCTATCGCTTGTTTATAAAGAAAAAAAGGTTTGAACTCTTTTTTTTTTTTTTGGTGTGTTTTCTTTCCTTTTACCCCTGGCTAAGAAAATTCGGCGACCTTGGTCACTAGGATAGCTAGGTATTGCTAAGCAATGGTTGCTAATAAAAGCATAAATTTGAATCGCGCTTGAAATCAATCAATCCAATCAATCAATCAATCAATCAATCAATCAAATCGGACACGGAAGGTTAAGGGAGGAAAAGAAGGCAAAGGAAGGGAAGGGAAGGAAAGCAGCGCTTGCATTTCTTTTTTTTCTTCTTTTTTATTTCTTTTTTATTTATTTTGGTTTGGTACCTACCGTATGTAATGTAAGCAAAACCCAAGCAATGAACCGAGTTTTCATACCTTCTCAACAATCGTGATACGAATTTGTTTGATTTGGTTTCATTTGTTACCGGTTGGTGCTGACTTTTATCTAAGTATTTCCCTTCCTTTCTTCCCATACCATACCATACCTGCCTATACCATATAACTACCTACGTACCTACCTACGGACGTACCTAATTACTTAGATACAGTCCGTACTAAGTAGATAATTGCTATCTAACCTTAGGCAGTTTTAGGCATGTACATATCACATATTACGTATTATAAGGTTAGGTACAGGGAAGAGATGAGATAATACCTAGAATAGTCTAGACTAGATACCTACTATGTACACCGGATACAGACTGTACCTACCTACACTATCTACACTACCTACACTACCTATAGATACAGTCTGTACAGATTACGGACTGCCGATGTAAACAATGATCTTCATAGGACCCCGGAAAACGTGTTCTAGATCTATCCATCTAGACAAGGGTAGGTAAAACTGTAGTTACTTAGACTAGGTAGGTACTAGATAGATAGTTACTTAATCCGAGACAAATAATACCTCATTTCCTCGTCGTCGTGAACTCGTGGACTCGTGGACTCGTGGAAATCGGCGATAATTCAACCAGACCTAGCTAGATAGATGCGCGTTTTCCATCATCATCATACATACATACACTCATGAACGCCGCAAAACGTGTCGTGCTAGGTACTTCGACTCAGCGACGTAGACCAGCGACGTAGACCAGCTCAGGCCGGTCATTAGGTATCTACTTGCTTCACCTACGCAGTATAGTGATTATATTTATAGTCGAACGAACAAAAGATGAACCAAACACCCAGCGCCAAAATTCGTCTTTTCAAGGATTGATTTCTTTTTCCTCTTCATTCGCTTCAAAGTTGGTCAAGACTACCTAGTCAGGACCACGAACCTCGTGCTTCTGCACTAAGGAGGACATGCACGCCCAGCTATCAAAAAACTTATAATGATACCTATCTAATGGTGATCATGATACAGTCTGTAGACTCTGTACCTACTACCGGCCATCAAAAGATTCAAAACAAAACATGCCACCGGCAAACCCAAAGTCGCCCTCGCCCACTCTGCAAAGTTCACCCACAAAACGGAAAATGCCGTCGCTCCTTCGTCACGTATATTATCCAGCAATATGTATCCAGCAAGTCCAACCAAGACTTGGTATAGGATCAGGCATCCTCCCATTTTTCCCATCTAGCCCCGGCCTATTCGCCGTCTATTCGGGCTTGAGAATGGAAAGGCACCGGCTGATTGATTTCCCTTTGCTGCTAAATTATTGCCTCGCTAGAACTCCTGAGTCGTAAAAAAACTTGGCAAAATGTGGTAATTCTCCCAATCAGAAACGCCGATCTGTTTTGAGTTTTGGCGCCTCCACAAAATATTTTCCACGTCTACTTCTTTGTCTTCTGGTCCATTCAAATGCGAGTCTAATGTTGTCCAAAGCCTGCGCTTGTCAAAAAGAAAGTAAAACGAAAAAGAAAATCACCATGACCAATGTCGGTGACCCAGTAGCCATAAACTCCGTCGCTGACACAGATATATCCGTAGCCCGTCCAGAGATAATACATATGCGTGAATGACAATGAGGACGTAAAAAAAAATAAAAATTATAAAAAAGAAATTATAAAAAAAACACTAGAAAAAATGATGCATTTAGCGAGTAGAAACAAGGGGTATAGGGTATCTGTGAATTTTAAGATGCTCGTGTTTTGGTTCAAGTCCCCTAAGTAGTGATTCATGAAAAATAAAATAAAAAGAAAATCAGAGAGGCGAGGGAGGTTCGGCTTCGTCATTGTTGGGGGGGTTTTGGGGCGGCTACCGTCACCGTGCCTCCTTCGACACAGACTCCCAGCTATAACGCGGGTGAGTCCTCTGAGGGACGTGCACGATATCGGAGCCATCGATCCTGCTAGATGCCGTCGAGTCGCTACCAGTCGCCGCGATTCTGGCCTCCTCTTCAAGTGTATAATTACTTCCTAACGTATCAGCGATAGAGTGCGGCCTTGAAGGATTCCCAGATCCAAGAGCAACGTCGAGTCCTTGAGCGCTTCTCGGCCTTTGCATCATCAGCTGGTGTGGAAGCTGAATATTTTGGGGTAGAGGTCCAAGGCAGACAACGTGAGTGGAAGCAATGGGTGTTCTCTGGATCAGTGGCGATGGTATAGATATCGGCGATTGGCAACTGTCGGGGGTAACAGAGGACATGCAGCGCGAAGAGACCGTCGAATGGTCTGCATCTACTGGCGATGGTGGTATGCAAACCAAAGTAGGATTAGAATGATAGCCCCCGACAAAACTTGGGTCATCGCTCTCTGGTGTTATTGGAGAAGGCACTCCATTTGGATCGTAATCCTGAGCTGGACTTGATAGAGGCGAAGGATAATCGCAAGAATGAGTGTTGATTGGTTGCGGAGTACGCGTGGCGATGGCAGACTCCAAGAAGCCATCTGGCCCAGAAGTTTTCGGAGAGACAGCCCATTGCGGTGGCCGGCTATGCATACCCTGGCCAAAGGCATCGTCCTTGGTGGTGGCCATGGAAAAGGTACCCGTAGTTATGTCGGTTGCATCAAGTTCAGCAGGCAACGAGCCTGGCATTTCGTAAGGTCCACGGTCCTGGTTCGTATCGATCCCAGGAGCATCAATACGGTCCTGATTCCCACGACTCTTGCTATGGTTGTTCTTTACCCGCGATATGATTCGGAGCCAAGCCGCTGGAGTGGGCTTTGTAGCGGAATCCGGCTCGGAAGATGAAAATTTCCGCATATATTCTTCAATCCCATCCACATTCTCGTCTGTTTTTGACACTCCCGAACTCCGTCGCGCAAACACTACCCCAGCAATGATAAGTGCAATCGAGCCCAAGCATGCCCCTATTACCACGCCTGCTATTTGGTCAGGAGTCAGTGTCTGAGGTCTTTTATTTTTAGGTGGCCCAGGATATGGGCTGTTAGGGGAAGCCGCAATAGTTTGGATCGAAACATTTGTCCATGGATCGGAGGGGAACCGAGCCTCGTGTACGGAGAACATATTTGTCTCATAATTCGTAATGATATAAGCTTCTTGTAAGAATGAGCGCCCGATGGTTAAGTGCCTCCGGCTTTCAGCTCTTTTTAAAGGAAAATATGGGACTGCTGGTGCGCCAAACTCTGTGTTGTTAAATGGATACCGAAGACTCTGAATGAAGGCGTTCGCAGAGACCGTGATGTTAACGACGTCAGACATGCTCGTCGACAGAGGAGAACCATCCTTGTCCGCACTCGACAAGGCGAAAGTGAACGAAAGGTTGGGTGCTGAACGATATCGCTCAAGATCGTCTGTGCTTGAGAAGAAATACAATTCGAAGGTCTCGTTCCACGTGAGGTTAAGAACACTGGCAAAACGGTCGCATACAGTCGGGGGGAGCCATAGATATGGAGTTGAGCTGTCAATTGTGGCTGTGAGAGATTCGTTGAGTAATAAGAGAGGCGTCGACGGCGAGGACCACTCGGTAGGTGCCTGTGTGATATTGGATGTCGTTGCTGTGATTGATCGCACTTGAACTTGAGGTTGTCTCGTAACGGCATTCAAGTCAAATTGAACATCATGAGGCTCAAAGCGATTGGCATCATAGCCTCCCAATGTCAGAGACATCGGGATACCATTCGCATCAGCTACTGCGTATGAGCTTCTGTTCGTCCAGTATGTGTTGCCTCGTATGCTCACCATAATATGCCCCAGCCGTGTAGCCGTAGCTGTGACTTGGTATTAGGCCACGCTGCTCCACCATTGATGCAATCGGTCCTTGCGCGATGATACCGGCGCTCCCCTTTGTGATTCCCAAGCCAAAGAGGCCTGTGT